TTTCTGCCTTGTTGATGAGAGAATGTCAAGATTTTTGAAGTAAGTTTTTGCCATCACAAAATTTTTTTTCTTTACAAAATGTTTAATTATTATTATTAGTATTCTTTTTGCATGAAGGTATATGGGGGATAAGAGTCTTAAAAAAAAATCTTCTAGTAAACTAACATGAGTTGAGGAGAATGAAAATTTATAGTTATTATTATTATTATTATTATTATTATTATTATTATTATTTAATCTGTGCATGTGTGGTGTTATATTAGAGATAAAATCCATGGCACTAATATATCAATAAAAAAATCAACTATTGGGTCTGTAATCCTTCTTAAAATTAATAATGGTATTTGTATCAATTTTACTGGATTTATCTTATATAAAATAAAAGAAAAATAAAATAAATAAATTTTGATATTTTGAAAAAAGTTAAAAAATCAAAAATCATTCTTTACCAGTAGAAAAGTTTTTCCAATGGTGTAAGGAATCCAAACAGAACAAGCTAAACAGATTGAAATCAAAAGTGCCATTAATGCAGAATTTTGCACAAGTACCCAGGGAGAACCTCGCATCCCAATAGCCTCTAGTACTCCTTCAAGCTCTTCATTCGCAATATTGTCATCATCATCTCCTTGGTCAACAACATCTGGAACATTATTGTTGTTATTGTTGTTGTTGTTAATTTCTTCTTCCATAAATAATAATCAAAACTTTTATATACAATTCTAAACCTGACAAAGAGAAAAAAGTTTAAACATTTTTAAATCAAAAAAATCAAAAATTATTATTTATGCAATTAGCACCCCTGATAAAAAAGATTTACTGAATTACTGACATATTAATATTAATATTATTTGTACTTGCCTTATTCGTTTTATTCGAATTTATTCATTTTTATTCTCGTTTTATTCGTTTTATTCTCGTTTTATTCGAATTTATTTGAATTATTTTTTACTCGAATTATTTTTTACTCGAATTATTTGTTTTATTCGTTTTACTCGAATTATTTTTCCCTAACTGCTACTTAAGATATGATATTATTTTAGTACAAAGAGCTTTAGAAATAAATATTTAACCAATAACTTAATTACAATATAAAAGAGCTATTGGTTTATTAAATTTAACCAATAATTAACTAAAAAATAGGATTAATTTTAAAAGAATATCTGGTAAATATTGGTGCTTATAATATTTATTAGTTATAAAGGAATATTAGTTTCTTGGTAAAAAGTTTTTTATGTTTTTTGAGATTTATATGTTTCACGACCAATTAACTTTTTACTTGATCAATTAGATTCTTTGATGTCGGTTTTTGGCTCCATTAAAAAACAGGATTATTTTTTTTTTATTATCAAAGAAACTTTAAAAATGTAAAAAATCAATCAAGTATTTTTTTGAAAATGTAAAAGATTCTTTGTGATATCGGATTTTTGGCTCCATTAGAAAAAAGGATGGTTCATAAGTCTTTTTAAAATCATAAAAAAGCCTTTTTTTTTGGAAATGTAAATAATTTTAATACTAATCAAAATTGTTATAATGAATGCCACGTTTAAATAGGATTAGAAACTTTAATACATAATAACAATAATAATAACATTGTTATTTTGATGCCAATCAAAATCACAAATGAATATTCTATAGTAATGGTCCTTTTTAAGGAGACTGGTGGTATTGGCACAGCAAACCGTCTTTTTCATGTGTCCTGCTATTATTCCAAAAATATTATGGTGGCTGTGATAATAACGAGATCGACGCTGATCGTGGAATAATTGGTTTCCTAATTAATGCCGTAGAAATTAAATTTTTTGATATTTTCACGGATTGAAAATATCATTATTATTTAAAAAAAACTTGTGACGTCAATTATGATAAAATAAATAAGTCAAATTACTTATACTAAGCTAAAAACGATTTTTTCACAGCATGCTTATTAATTTAAAATTACAAATGCCCAATTACGGCGCTAAAATAATGTAATAACGAAATTTATATAAAAATGAGTGTAAGAACTGATTTAAATATTCCTTTATAAAAATCTCGTCAAAGAAACAATTTTTATTTAAAATTAGAATAAATAAAATTTTAACGCATTAATGAATTAAAACAAAAAAAAAAATGAATGACACATTGTTAAATGAATACATTAGTAATATTACAAATTTATTGGAATCAGAAGAGATTTATGATGTAAAGATTAATGTTGGAATAAAACCAGATACTAAAGAATTTCATGCTCATTCATCTATATTATATGCGCGTTGTCCATTTCTCAAAACTGCCTTGTCCAAAGCAAAAAAAGAAGATGGGTTTTATGTTTTCAATATAGAAAATATTAATGAACTTAATTTTGAAACAATTCTCAAGTAAATGATTTAATTGTCTTTGTTTTTTTAATTGAATATATGATGAAGCTTAATATTTACATATTATTTTTATTTTAAAAAAAGATTTTTATATACAAGCAAAGTTAATTTTAACAATCATACTGGTGATCATATGTTGGAATTATTAAGCGCAGCTGAAGATTTTGGTCTTGCATCACTTTTTATTCATGCAATGAAATACTTTATTCAAAATTATGATGATTATATAAATCAAAACACTGTCAAAATCCTACGACCAATTTATAATAACAGAAATTATGATATATTGAAAATTACTTGTTTAGAAAAAATTTGCAATGATAGTGGAAAATTATTTAAATCAAACGAATTTGAATTATTAGAAAAACCAATTTTATTGGAAATTCTTGGAAAAGATAATTTTTATGTTGATGAAATTGAAGTATGGGAAAATGTTCTTAAATGGGGATTAGCAAAACATACAGAAATAAAGGGTAATGTTAAATATTGGTCGTCAAAAGACTTTCAAAATCTAAGAAATACGTTAAAAGGATTAACTGGCTTGATTAGATTCAAGGATATTTTTAAAGAAGATTTTTATACCAAAATTAGACCATATCAAAAGCTTTTTCCTGAGGATATATGGGACAAAGCTCAATGCTATTATTTTATTTCTAAAGATGCTTCGATTTCAAAATTATTACCATCAAGAGATCCAAAAATTCAACCCATGATGTTTAATCAAAAGATCACTTTGCTTTTTGCAAGCTGGATTGACAAAAAAGATCCACCATATAGCTCAATCGATCAGGTCAAATATAAGTTTAAACTTTTGTATAAAAGTAGTAGGGATGGTTTGGATGCAAAAACATTTCATAATAAATGTGATCACATCGTCAAAACTCTTGTGATTGCAAAAATACAAAATACTAAACAAATAGTTGGAGGCTTTAACCCTTGGAATTGGGAAGGGAATAATCTATATAAAAATTCAAATAGCAGTTTTATATTCAACATAATTGATAAAAATGATGTTAAATTTAGTTATGCTAATGATGATGGTAAAAATGCAATTTATTGTTATCCCGACTATTTTCCTGTTTTTGGATATGGTTACGATCTTAAATTTGATAAAGATAGAAATGGAGGTGGAAGTATCTCTAGTTATCAAAGGACTTATGGCAAAATTGATATAACAAATAATAGTAAATTTAATGAATTAGAAGTTTTCGAAGTAATTAATAAAGATAAGACCTGTTTAAAACACCACGACCCTTTTAATAATTTTCTTAGAGAATATATTCTAAAATTTAAATAACATATTGCTCAAATATTATTATATTGTAATCATTTAACAAAAAAATAAATATTTTACTATAAATATCAGCTTTTTTCTCTCAATTACTGGTTTCTTTATGGATAGTTTACCAAAGAAATTCTGAAATTATAATGCAATTTTTGTAGAATATTTAAAGGATTCATTTATCTGTAAAAAAAAAAGAGATCGAGATATTACTGCCGCAAAGAATAACCAAAAGTTCATTCATAAAATAATATGAATTTTTTATAAATACCCATCCTTAATTCATTTTTTTTATAAATACCTTCCTTTTTTTATAAATATCTTTAACACAAAAAAAGATTTAACATTTGCCGTGTCACGATCACCTTCCAAAACCCACAAGTCGTGCGACTTCCGTGCAGGTTTCTCGCCGATCGTCTCCTTTTGCGTCTAGCCGCGCCTGGTCTTTGCGATTTTTGGCGCGATCAACGTTAGCAAAAAATGTGTCGTAACCAAAAATCTAACTTTATTAACATTAAGGAAGAATCGTCTTTCCATATTAGCGCAATTTTGAAATATTAGAATTACTAATTAATTGAATTGTATAACTTTCTAACAAGTTAATTAGTTTCGACTAAGAAAACTAAATAAATAAAATAGTAATATTTTATTTAAATAAACTTTTATCTTCTTTAACCAAAATTATTCGCTAATACCAAAATCAATTCGTTGATCCCCTATTCATTCTGATCCACGCAAAAAAACAAATAATTATTATCACCAATTAAAATACGCTCTCCCCCAAATTTAATCGGTGACACATACACCACCTGAAAAGAGTAAGGCATCTCTATTTATTACAGAAATGATGTATATACCCCAAAAAGAAGGAAGTAAGAAAGTTGATAATAGAGAAGTAGGCAAGAGAGGAGGAAAAAAAAAGAATTAATGCATTTTACAATAGAAAATGTTAATAATAATGAAAACTTGTTAAAAGATTTCAATAATCATCAGAGCAATTGAACTCTGATTTATTATTTGTTTATTCGGGTTGTGTGCTATATGCATAGTAAAAATATAATATTTATAGCATAACATATAATTGATAATAAAGAATCACACTACATTGTAATAATTATAGTCATATGGGCGAATTTGACTCATTCCAATAAGTAAATGTTATATAAACATGTGATGAACATGTGATAACCTTATTAATTTCACCCACAAAAATTTTATTTTATTGCCGTTGGAGTTAAATTGGTTTTAAATTGGTTTAAACTGGTTTTTAAATTGGTTTAAAAGTCGTTTTTGAGCTTTAATTCCTGAAGTGACTTGGGTAAAAATAATATTTTTATTAAAAAAATGGGAATAAAATGTTTATGAGTCAATGATTGAGAGATTGTAGGATATATTTTATTAACTTACCCATTTATTCATTATTTAGATTATCAAATATTCATTACAAAAATTACGTTCATCATGACTTGCATAGTGGTAATATTTATTCCTATGAAATTGGTTTTAGTATAATAGGATATTTGATAGAAAAGACAATCTGAATAAAATCTACAGGGTTATTCCGTATCTGGCACCTGAGTATTATCAAAAAAAACCTTATACAAAGGAATTAGACATTTAGAATTTTGGAATGATAATGTGGGAATATACTGCATGAAATAAATCCTTTATTTAAGGTGTTTTATATAATTATTTACTATAATGAAACATAATGAATCACTTGTTCGTGTGGTATAGCATTAATAGAACCAGAGGTTTTTTCACTAATTATTAATTGATTATTATTTTCAAACTATAATGTCATCAATTCTCATAGATCAGAATAAATATTTGAGGAGAGATTTTGTTTAGATAGAAAATAAACAATTCTCATTGACAAAACCTGACAATTCATGTTCATTGATTTCTAAATGTCTTTTAGACTTAAATCTGTTGTATCTAATGCAAGTTTTGTACTTCCATTTCAAAGTTACAAAAATGAAGAACTGCATTTTTATTTTCTTCACATCCTAACCATGAAACCAATACTATTAACAGTTTTCTTTGATGTGTTTGTTTATTAGACATTTTTAAATGAATAAATTGCAATAAATATTTGTTTCAAAATAGAATCACACCTGAAAACATCAATGATTTATTGTTAACAATAAATGGAATTATAATAAATAAAAGGATTTTATTTGATTTTACTTCAAAAATAGAATTATATCCGAAAACATCAATGATTTATCATTAACAAAATGCTTTTATTTTGTTTCAAATTATGCCCGAAATTCATTGTTAATAATATTAATATGAAACGAATAAAACGAATGAGCAAATAAAATGAATAAACGAATAAATGAATAATTCGAAGGAACGAAGAAACAAATAATAATAATAATAATAATAATAATAATAATAATAATAATAATATAATCATATTAATATATAGTCGAACGATGTGTCACATTAAACGATTGGGAAGTGTATTTTCCGAAATTTTTTGGTGATCAACGTCGAAATTCTAATACAGTCAACCCTCCATAAGTGCACCCCCCTTGGGACCAGGCGAGACCGTGCACTTATGGAGGGGTGCACTTATAGAACAAAAGTATTTTATTGGTTGCACGTGACACTAATGAAAAATTAAAAAAGATTTTTATTTATAAAATTATTACAATGCAAAAATTAAATGTCAACGTTCCTTCAAAAACTCCTAACCCAGTTGCAATTTGCTTGGCCTTTTCAACTAAAATAACATCACTTAAGATTGCTTTGTGTTGGTAAATTAAAACAAATTCCTTAAGAGCTTAGGGACAATCACAGATTTATGTCTTTTTGCTTCTAGATTGGTAATTTTGGTGCTAAGTATTTTTCTACTTTTTTGTATAGTTCTAGTTATTGTTGATTCATGAACTGTAACCCCCATTTTTGTTCAATCCATGCAACATATTCTTTTCTGGTCAATTTATTATTTGCAGCAAATAAGCAAAATTCATATTTTTGGGTATCAGATAAAGTT